GCGCTCTACCAACCCAGCGACACAAGCGCCGACGACATCCGCCAGCGCGTCGAGGCCTTCCTCGACAGCCTCGACGTCTCACCCGCGCAATTCGTGTCCCAAAGCTCCATCGACGAAATCACCAAAGCCGACGTCACCTACCTCATCTTCGAGGCGCTCTACCAACCGCTGCAGCTGTTCCCCTACGGCGCCGTCCTGCTCTCCGCCGCCATGGCCGGCAACTTCACCCTACTCCACGCGGCCCTCGCGCTGCCCACATCATCCACCTCCTGCCCCCCGGCCCCCGCCCCGGAATCGTATACCTGGTCCTCGGACACGCTGGCCGCCGTCGCCTGCGGCGACGCCGCGTCCCTGGCCGGTCTCAGCACGCCGGAGTTCCTGGCGTATCTACGCGAGCAGCAGGCCCTGGCCGCCGACTTCGGCGCGTACTGGGCGCGCATCCGGCTCAGCTGCACGGGCTGGCGCGTGCGCCCGGCGTACCGCTTCGAGGGCCCGTTTACGACGCCGCAGGCGGATCCGGCGGGTGTGGAGGGGAGGCCCGAGGCGCCGCTGCTGTTTCTGTCTAGTATGTACGATCCGGTGACGCCGCATGCGAATGCGGTGGCGATGGCGAGGGAACATGTGGGGTCCGTGGTGCTGGTGCAGGATAATGCGGGACATGGGACGCAGTCCGTACCCGGGAGATGCAGGGATGGGTATGTGAGAGCGTATTTCGAGACCGGGGAGGTGCCGCCGGAGGGCACGGTGTGCGAGGCGGATTGTACGCCGTTCCAGGAGTGTCCGCAGGCGGGGTTGACGAAGCGAGGGCTGGATGGCGAGGGTGTGCCGGAGTTGCTGAGGAGGAGGAGGGCGCCGTTGGGAATGGGGGTGTAGTTTAGCTAGGGGGATTAATTAATTGGAATACGTTCGTGACTTTTAGGGAGTATTTAGGGAGGACAATGTTAGTCCCTCGACTACCGAATGAACAATGACATCTCTTGATAATCTAGTGTCGTATGTGAGGCATTGTTGGATCGAAGCAGGCGGCTCCCGTCATGTTAGACCAGCATGGCTTATCGCCAGCTAGTCGTTATTATGACAAGCGGCAGGAAATTATACGTACCTACGATACCAACTTACTGCCAGGACGATCCTGTCTGTTGGTTAGGAAATACTAGGGTATATTATAGCAAAAAAATCATTCGTATTAGAGTCCTATCAGTTCATGGTGCTTAGATCACCTCCATCGTACCTAGGCAACTGCCTAAGTTCAAGTCGAACACGGCCTTCGTAGGCGTTCAGAATCGCAAAATGCAAAAATACAGAGAGACAAAGAGAGAGAGAGAGAGAGAGAGAGGAGGGACGGCGGTTGTGCGAGGGTCGCGTTGTTTGGTACCATGACTGCGATCAGACTACCTAGACAACATTTCTTCCCTACCAACTGCGGTTCGGATGGCTGTTCGACGGCATCTGCTGGCCGGGGTATACAAAGCCACCCACGTAGGTGTTGAAACAACAATCCCAGTCGTAAAGGAGAGCGAGCGCCTCTTCACACTCCCGGAGGATGATGTGGTTCGGGCCTGGCTGCTCGTAGTCGCAGCCGTCGGCCGGGTTGTAGTACTCCGTCACGCCATTGTGATTGTGGCGCTCGAGGAGGAGCAGACAGAGAGGCCGACCAGGCTCGCCGGTAATCTCAACGTCGACGAACGGGCCCGAGAGCATGAGAACGGCCGCCTTCTCCGTCTCGATGACGTGCTGGTTTTCTTCATACGGCTTCAGTTGGCGAGTCATTATGTGAAAGTTGAGTAGCTTGTCGTGCTTGGATCGAAACTGGGAGTATTCATCCTCCTTCTTGGCGAGGAGGTAGCCCCAGGCTCGTCGGATGATAGTTCTGGTCTGTGGGGAAGGGATCAGCTGGATCGTGCCGTTGCTGGGAGTGTCGAAGAAAGGCATTGTGACAGCTCGGGTCGACGCGAAGGCCAGTCCCAAGGGATTCGGGTAGTTGATATCGGCTCCGAAGAGGTCGACCGAGAAGGCCCGTCCGTCGCTACGTAGTCGAATGGTGTGGTCTTCTATGGTGATCCGGAGTCCTCTTCCTAGGGTGGTTCTGGCGGTGGCCTGTTGCTATGCAGCGTTAGTAAAGGCGTTTTGGTTAGATGAAGATGGATAAGACCTACCTGTTCGTCAGCATCTGCCATGACTACATCATTATCTTCGTCAGTGGGTTGGTGAGATCCAACGATGTCTCCTTGGGCAGACATGGTTACGATGTAGACTAATTCTCCGAGTTGGTTTGACGAGCAGTAAGTGAGAAATAAAGCCACCGTATGGTTGAGCTGGATAGGTTCTTGATGGGTGGTAGGGAATGGCGAATTGACAATTAGAAGAAGTACTTGTCTGCAATGAGGAGCGGTAGACTGCGGGTGATAAGTGAGCCGGGTGAGTAGGTAGCTATCGTCTTTGGCCTCACTTGTTGTGGTTGCAGAAGAACCAAAAGTGAAAAGAAATCACGGACCGCAGGACAATTTAGAAAAGAATTGGGTGGTCCAAGGAGGCAGAATTGTGCACCGTCCGGTCTTGCGCCTCAAGTACTATCGTCGTCGTGCTTGGAGTCTTCCAGCCTCAGTACGGGCGGTAAGTATTGCGTCTCCTTTACTCGGAACTCAAGACGTTCTTCGTTCGCCGCTCGCAATGGCGTTTCCGGGAATCACAATGACAGAAGGAGTCTCGTGCATAGGGGGCTCTGGGAGAGATTCAATATCTAGACCAAGAGAGCAGCGGCTAGACTACTGGATACGAGGGGTTAAGTCTGGACGGTAGACTGCGGATGATCCACAGGTGAAGAGAATAGTCGAGCTCACCAGTCAGGAGCAAAAATTCCAACTTGTCATTTATAAGGGAGGTAAACAACGCAGTTGAGTTTTAATTACATTGCAATTTATTCTGCTTTGGCTTGAACACATCCGATTACCATAGGCTATCACGAGTTCCTAGTAATATTGAGTCTATGCCAGGCATAATATTGAAAAAGACGATGGCGATAATTAACCTAGATGGCATGCAAGAAAAACTCTCATCTCTCTTTCCCAAAACTTGCTTTATTTCTGGACGATATTCAGTTGTGAACAGGCTTTATGTTGCATAGCATTTCTACATTTATTTTCTCACTCACTTTTTCCGAATTATTTGATATTTCATAGACGAGTACGTAGGGGTGGGTGGACCAAATCGAAGGATTTGATATCATTGTCTCGCGCGGGTCTATATGCTGGCTAACAAAAGAGAGCTCTTCGACGCATAGCCCAAGGAGGAACAGCCATGCCCGTAAAGGATTGGCCCTATGGTAACTACATTTTCGTACATAACAATACCACGTGTGCCAAGAGATTGATTATTCCAGCAGAATGCCTTTCCATCTAAAAAGGGTACTAAATCGAAATTATATTTATGCTCTTCGTACCGGAATAATGTATAGAGTCCAATGTTGGGTGTAAATCATTTACATCTGTCGGTCAGGCACACATTAGATATAAGTGGCTATACCAAATTTTCTGACATGTCTCCACAATTACAGTCGCGTGGTCTAATGGTTATGATTTCTCGTTCACATTGATGTGTTCAAAGTCCCGAGAAGGTTCCGTGTTCGATCCACGGCGTGACTAAACTCCATCTTTTTGCCCACTTGGCGCTGTGACTAAGTGCGCAGGAGGGCACATCGTGCTTGCTAAGGGGAAGGAGTGGGGGAGAACTAGAAGCGGGCGGTGACCCACATAGCGATAGCATCATTAGTCTGCGAGGAACGAGGAAGATGTTGCTGTGTTATGCATGATATACTGATGGTAGAGAGCCTACCATTTTGATTCAAGACTTATTTTTATCCATAAATACATTGCGGTAGGTCGAGTTCCAGGAATTAGGATGACATATATACCTCTTGTAGGTCTATGTCTAACAAGTTGAGCCTCATACTGATGATTCAATAGTACATAGTGACATGGCTCTTATCAAGCCATATTAATCACAAATCTCCCACGCATGAGACGTTGGTTTGTATAGATATGATATGTCTTCCCCATATACATGTATGGATGATAACCTACTTCTTGTGCACTTCTAGAAGACGGAACTATCCAGGGCTGAGGAACTCGCTTTACTATGCCGTTGAAATGAATCTTGAATCCAGCTTCAACCACAGCAGGAAAGAACCGGAAAAGAGCTCGGCTCCAAGTCATAGCCAGTCCACTACTCTTTACAATGTGCAATCATGACGTGAGGGGGATATTCATTTGAGCGAATATACTTGCTATGGTCCTAATATAGCATATAGGAGCAATTGTTGAGCCTTGGTGGCTCGTGCCTGGCATCAACTAATGCGGCATCCCCTGGTTTAGGCAGCCATCTGTTTGTCCGAGGGAATATGACGTGTTTAGAAAATATGTGAATCTACCTACCTACCTACCTACCTACCTACCACTAGTTATCTGCTCGAATGGGCACAACAGATACCATGTAATTACGATAGTGTATACGTGCTTGTAAGCAGGAGACTTTTGTAATAGGAGTCATCTCGGACGATAGCCCCATGGTACCCGTCATGACGAACTGGCTTATTATCATTAGCCAGCCTGGAATTAGAGCAGCAAACAGCGTGATTCATAACTTGCTTATGTGAACATAACACTGTTTGCATCTCGAGACATTAGCTGTATTGTACAGTGTCAAGCTGAAGTAGGGCCAGAGTGTTTCATTGGCGGCCAGTCAGCCAGGTGGAGCGGGCTGTGTGCGGGTAGGCGCAGGCAGGCAGGCAGGCGTCTCGGATATCGTTTTCACGGCAGCCAGTCATGTAGGCACGCGACAAGGCTCTCTGACACTTGATCTCTTTGTTTACCTCAGCAGTCACCAACCATGTTGCCCCCAAGGCAGAAACAGGGCAATCACACGCACTCTTTCCTCATAACTGTCAATAATAGCTGTTACATACATCGCCAGTCAAATGGTCGAGTGGTAAATAACTACAGCCAGCCGTACTAGAGAAATGGTTAACTCGTCGGCCTCCTATTGCAAAGTCAATAAGCCGAAGATTCCCGGTTCGAGTCCGGGGTGCGGTGTTCTTTTTTTTTTTTTTCTTTCTTTTTTAAACCTAGGTTAGTTATTTCTTGCTCTTCATCGCAGCCCTTCTCTCGATACCCTTCAGTACTGTTTACTTGATTCATATTTGTTTCGCTCTTCAGCGAAGAAAACGCACATATATTTCTGATATTGGGACGGAATATACAGACCGGACAACCTGTAACGATTTATGAATATGCAGCCCGAGACCTAGCACGGGTAATGTGCAGCAAGCAACCCCTCTCCTTGACAAGTCTTCTGTGGGTAGGTAGGTATGTTATATTTGTTGGTATTTTCAACTTTGAAACGCGACATAGACGTCAACTTCCTTCAAGCAGAGCGTCTTCGCACCCGCACGAGGGTGTCCATCTTTGGTACCTTCAGCGCCAGCATATTCGTTGGCTGGGGTCTTGCTTTGGTGTATTCGATGTCGTAATTCGTCAGCAGGTAGGCTAGCACGAGCTTTATCTCGTGGACAGCCAGGAAGCGACCAGGACACGGATTCTTGCTGGTTCCGAAGCCGAAGAAATAATCGTCTGGGGTGGCCGTGGGTTTGTTTGTCACGTATTTCTGGCCATCCGACTTGCTGTCCTCATGTCCAGTGGTCACAAACCGGAAGGGGTTGAAGTGACGAGCGTCGGGATATATGGCTTCATCGCAATGAATACTTTCCATCGGCGAGGCCAGGATTGTGCCTTGGGGAATGTGGACGCTGGATTGGCCGTGCTCAATCGATATACCCTTCGGATCGACTACCTAGTGTACGTGGAAACTTGTCAGATATAAGTTTCTAAAAGAGCAGGGAGGAGGAGGAGCAACGGACCGTCCGAGCCATAGCTACAGAAGCAAAAGGTATCACTCTCATGGACTCCCGAATTGCCGAGTCAACGAGTCTGAGTTTCCGAATTGCGTCGAGATTCCACGTCCCACCAGCCTCGCTCAACGCCTTGTCGCACTCCTCTCGCAATGCCTCAATATACCCTAGAGACGGATCGGAGGTAATGAGGCTTAATATGAGATTATGCAAGGATAAAGTTGTGCTATGAAGAGATACGTTGTTGGTTACGAGAAGCCGATCGGATATAAGGCTCGGTGATAACTGCGAGTCATCGTCGCGGGAGATGGCTTCGTCGATAATCAGCTGAAGCGCATCTTTCTATGCACAAACTTAGCTAAGCGACACTCTATGCAAAGTATCCGATTCAAATTTCAATAAGTTCGACCGTTCATCTTACCACAGGTTTCTTGCTACCATCGGCCCGAGTCTTCGCCTGTCTCGCCTCCCTGATTCTTGCTTCGATATACGGAGCGCATATCTTGGCAAAGGTTTTGGAATGGTGTGCGCACCATAACTTGACCAAGTACCCGGTGATGGGTCTCAAGAATGTCGGCGTGATGCTAATGAGCATTGCGCCGCCAAAGAGTGCGACGGACTGGCCTTCCAAACTTGCGAGGTACTTCTCATCATTGCCTACAAGGTTGCGGCGTTAGGCGAAGATCCGGCTGCTTATCGCGGGGAGGACGTACATAAAGGAGCGCCACATAGAGCAGAGTTCGCGGCTTTAGCGACAACCTGGAAGCACCCTTGCCATATTGTGACCTCCTTCCAGGCGGAATCGGTTCCCCACGAGGACTTGAACCCATCTTCGAGTGCGGCGATCATTGGGACTGTGAGTGCGTCGAGCTCTCGCGTAAGCTGACTGGGGATGAGATATCGGTGATAAGGATCGAGAACGACTCTTTGATCGCGAACAGTGTACTCTGCTTGGATCTGCTCCTGGAGGGTGCCGAAGACATCTAGTCGGTCTTCTGGTAGTTTGTCTACCGTCTTCATCTGCTCTGTCGGGAGGATAACCACTGTTCCTCGGTCCATGGTTCGAATTAGGTATGGGGAATCACTCTTGGTGAACTTCCAATGGCAAAATGTCAGACCGGCTAAGACAAACGTGCATGCACGTAGTTGAGTAGTATCACCTTGGAGTAACCCTCTTCAGCCCATTCTGCTGTCTTGGAAAGGGATCGGAACGTTGCTCGTATACTATGGAACAACTCATCACGGAAGCCAACTTCGGGGAATGCCTTGAGCAAGGCGCTGTATTGGCGCCGCCCCGCCGATCCAGATGCGATGAGGAGCAGGTGGTGAAAGAGAACAATGGCAAGGCTGTGTAACACGGACGCCACCAGCATCCCTAATGTTGGGAGCATATATGTTAGGTACCTGGGTATGCAAGGCAGCTTGGCACCTTAGATCATGCTCGATTCATCATATCGGACTAGATCTAAGTAATCAGGGATAACATACGTACTCTATATATAAGATACTTGATTTATTTGCAGCAATGTACATCTTACAGCAGTCCACAGTTGGTGGAAGTGGAAGTAATTATATTCATGAAAGAGGGTGCTGAGACAGTGACGTAAGGCGCAGCAGAGGGGACGCTATTTTTGGATAACCAACACCTCCAGTCTTGGGCGCCTCTAGGCCGCGTAGACATCCTTGATATGCATCTCATTAGCACTCGTCCATAGTAATAACATACCAACAACAGTCAAAGCGTGTCAAAGAAGGCCAAAATCTCCCTTGTCACAACCTCGGGCTGTTCCTGCTGGACCCAATGTCCCGCACCATCCACGAACTTGGCGCCCCTGTAGCAGCCCTCCTTAACAGACTTCGGGTCCTCATACCCCTCCAGCGCCCCGGGCTGCTGGTAGTTACCCCAATCCTGCTTCCCGCTGATAAACGTGCAGGGAACCTCGATCCTGCGACCCGCAAACAACAGCATATCCCGCTTGGACTGCGGCGTCGACGCCGTTTGCGCCCGGTACCAGTTCAGCGCGCCCTGGAACCCGTTCCGCCGCCACTCGTCGCAGTACACCTTGAGGGCCTCCTTCGAGAGCCACCGCTCCGTCTTTGACGCGTCTTCGCCCGCCATGTTGGCGGCCACCGTCTCGGGCATCGAGTGCTCTGCCTTCATGATGTAGTACTCCGGCATACCGGCCAGTTCCTGCGCGCCCCATTTCTCTAACGGTCGAGGGTCGTTCTTGTCCCAATCTGCGGACTTGAGGTGGAAGTATCCGCGTAGAAACGCTTCTAGCCCTTGTGGCGGGTTCTCCCAATCCTTCGCTGCTTGCGGGCTGGAGTTGTACCATTTATAATGCTTCCTCGGCGGATCCAATTTCGCCAGCTCAGCCTGGATGTCAACCTTCTTCTCCTGCTGTCCCGGAACAGGTTCCGCAGGCCGGTGATGTGGGTGGCTCATCTGGATGGTGGACCGGAAGATATCCGGTCGCATCAGTGCCGCCATGGCGGAGCTTACGCCACCGAAGTCATGGCCGATAATACTGTGCACCGTCGCATAGCCCAGCCCGTAGACGAGGCACACGAGGTCGCGCACCAGGTTCGTGAAGACGAAGTCGTTCAGATCGACCTGGTCGAAGGGTTGCTGTCGCGGCCACCCCTTTGTGCGGCCGTACCCGCGCTGGTCCATCGCCACGCAGAAGTAGCCGGCCTCGGCGACCCTGGGGAGGATCTTGCGCCACGAATACGCGAGCTCCGGATACCCGTGGCAGAAGAGCACGAGGGGTTTGCCGGGCTCGCCGGCCTTGAGGACGTGCCATGTGAGGCCGCATGATGCGGAGCAGTCGATGTAGTCCGAGGTAATGCCTTTTGGTAGGGGCAGCTCTGGCAGTGCCGCGTTTGGCTGGGTTGAAACGTCCGCCATGTTAACTGTGTGTACCTAGGTAGTCAGCTTGTGCAACACACGTTGAGACTACGACCACAGAGAGTTAGGTATTTCACCCGAGGTACGACGTATAGGAGGTTACACTTGTAGCATTGTAAAGCCCCGCATATACCTGAGTAGGTAATCCGACGAAGTTACGTCAGCAACTTACATGTGATACATATCTTGTAAACTGCTGCTCGCTCTTAGCAGTGGAGTTGTTTCGAGAAGGCACCTAGTTAACTTGATATTCTATTAGTTGAAGCGCATATGTTCTGTAGTAACCTTGGCTTAAATCAACAGCAATGCCGTAATATTGCTACTTCGGATTGTCGGATAGTCCGTTGCTAGTACAAGTTGTGGAGTTATGGAGAACAAAGATGAATGTAACAAGATGCAATACCTAAATACCACCAAATTCAAACCATCCCTAATCCTTTCAAAACATGAGTGTACAATAGAGAGATGTCGTTGAAGACAGATTCTCTACACATATGTCCGCTACATTTGGCATCCAGTATCTAGAGATCGATACTCCATTCATCCCAGCCTTTCTTCTCACCGGGTAGTCTCACGCTCTCCCACTCTTTCCTGGTGACGTTCTTCCATTCTTCGACGGGAATCCAGCCAATGTAAGCTCTATCGCCGAAGCCGCCGATCCAATAGATCTGAGTGACGACAAGTCTCACGAATTCGGATTCGTGGATCTGGTTGCCAGGAAGCCAATACTTTGCGTCAGGATGTGTGTCCACGAAGCACGACGACAAAGCCTTGGTGGAAGCCGGGTCAATCTTCTCGATATAGCCCAGCAGGCTGTATCGGGGGAGGTTGACGGCGCTATAGGGCACTCTATCCTTGGAGCTATGCTCGCGTCCGAATAGCCAATCAAAGAAGGAAGACTTGATGCGCTTATCGGGTGGGTACGGGGGTGTCCACTGCTGGGCCAGGCTGATATTCGAACCTCCCTGTACATTCTTGAACGTCGTCTCGATCTTGATGGCCAAGAAGGTAGGGTTGCCATCTTCCTCGCAATCCGCTACATACTCCAGCAGCCCCAAAGGCATGCCGCCGAGGCCATCTGGCTGGCGTCCGCGGGACGAGTCTGGGAAGACGGTGGCGAGCGTTCCAAGTGGTGTTAGAGCTAAGATGCGTCGACCGAGCACTGCCGACTCATATGAGGTCGGAATTTTGTACTCTGGTGCCGCAGCTGGAGGGTTGCTGAAGATGTACTGCGGATCCGGAGCCGGCTCGGCCACGTAGGAGCTCGCAGCCAAAGT